AAGAGAAATCACCCCCCGGGGGGATGCCCATGCCGCAACCCTTCTCCTCCATTCTCCTGCTGGGATTTTGGGCACACGTACCTACGCACCCGGCATGATTTTTCAAGCCACCAGCTCTGGGACTCGAACTGTGGTCGGCCATGTGGGAGTCCAGCACCTTCACCACCATGCCACCTGCTGGCCCGGGCTCTGTTTGTGTTTTCTCTCCCACACTGTGGCCTGAGAACTTCCAGGCAGGGAGCTGCGAACCTTGAAGGGTTCACTTTGTTTCCCTTCTCCCAGAGATTGCTGACATATACTATTGGGCTGTCAGGAAAGCGGAGACACATGTTTGCATAAGAAAAGCAGAGACATCACGGTTTTCCCAATGACCTAATGCCTGTCCGACATCTGCAAATCATTATTTTCTACGTTTTATCCAGTTTTCTAGTTGTTTGAGGCAGGAAAGTACATCTAGTCCCAGTTATGCCCGAATTCAGGGTTGGAAACGGAAGTCAACACCCACTTGAGATGATGAGGTTACAGAGCATTATGGGTAAGAAAGTACCTCCGTTGGGGCCGGAGGTGGTGTGGTGGTTAAAGCACTGGACTCCCCCACGGCCAACCACAGTTTAGTCCTGGACCTGGTCGCTTGCTTTCTCTCTCTCTGTCTCTCTCTGATGAGCACGCATGCCTTGTAGCAAATTTTAAAAAGTAATAATAATAAATAAAATTAAATAAATATTTTTTTTTTTTGAAAAAGAAAGTAAGTACCCTCCAATGGACCCCATCAGAAATTTAGAATTATCTGGGGTCTGTCTTATTTTTGTAAAGTTTATCATTTACTTCCTCTAAGGAGGGACACTGCCATGGGGTCTCTGTGTTGTAATTCCGTCCACCCTCAGCCAGCCTGGACCACTGGCCCATGATGCCCGGCATATGCAGGGAGGCCTGGAGCCCTGAATCGGGGCCTTCCCAGGCCGGTGCACTTGTGTTACTGCTGTAGTACCAGCTGGCCCCTTTACACTCCCCTTTAGCAACCTACAAGTCAGTCCCTGAGCTTCGTGAGGACCTCATCACACGCTTACTCTTGTTCTGCCCCCATGAAACGTCTACAACACCCTCATCGCTGACCGACCTGGTAGTGATGCCTGCTGCGTGGTGAGCTCGTTGTCCTCCGTACTGTTCGCACTGTCTTCTGCTTCTACCAGACAGCCTTTCCTCTCATTTTTTCTTCTTAAATAAGAAGAGAGAGGCAGAGAGGTTAAGTGTATGTGCAAATTCATCTGTTGTTAAGTAAGTGGGAGAGCCAAGGTTTAAAGGTAGCCATTGCTGGGGCCAGCAGGTGGTCTAGTGGTTAAAGCGCTGGACTCCCACACGGCTGAGTCCTGGGCCTGGCGGCTTGCTTTCTCACCTTCTCTGTGTGTGTGTGTGTCTCTCAGGTGCACATGTGCCCTATAGCAAATTTTTAAAAATATTCATAAATAAAACAAATCATTCATTTTTTTTAAAAAAGGTAGCCATGGCTCTTTTCTCTACACCATAGGAGGGTACTTCAAAAAGTTCTTGACCCCCTCGTCCAAAAATGAAGTTAATGTACAATCTTATTTTGGCACAAAAAAATCAAAATACGCGCAGCTTGTTCCTAGTACATATTTCCCACAAGCTTCGAACTGCCTTGTTCATTAGCTTTACGTTTGCAGACAGCCCTGCAGACGCCTTCCCCCCGAGCCCACTCCGGCGCTTCATTCGTGGGAGGGGTGGAATGGCCACTGAAGACTGTAATGCTGAACACGGACATCTCAGAGCACGCCCCGTCCTCCCACTCTTCCCCGCCTGCTCCCTCGTCTCCCCACAAGCCTGCTCCATGTCTCGGAAGCCTCCAGAACCTTAACTGTTCCCCGTTCTTCTCTTTTTCTTGTTTTTTCTTATCACCCCTGTGAAGTTATCACTCCGGAAGCTCTGACAGAGACCTTTGTCCTCACCTGCCTGTCAGTCCCTGCCCTCGAGGCCTCCACCCCTGCTGCTTCTCTCTTGGTCACCGCTCAAGGGTGGAAACACCTGTTCCATATTCAACTCAGAAGTGAGTTCTGCCCAACAGTCTTCTAATTCCAGTCAACAATGTTTCAGATTTTCTTTTTTTTTTTTGGGGGGGGGGTAGATTTTTGCCATAGGGTGCATGCATGAGCCAGAGAGTGACAGAGAGAGAGAGAAGGAGGGAAATGAAAAACCACCCCCCAGAGCGGAAGGCCACACCACAGTCCCTTCTCCTCCGAGATCTCAGCCACGCACACACACGCAGGCATGATTTTCAAGTCACTGGGTCCAGGACTGGAACAGTAGTTGACCTTGTGGGAATCCAGTGCCTTAACCGCCATGCCATCTGCGCCCCCCCCATTCGTATTTTCTTTAAGTTGATTTATTTCTCCCATGAGAAAGAGAGAGAGCACATTCCCCAGGATCCCAGCTCCACAGTGCAGCAGCCTGCCTCCCCCAGCCCCGGGTGCTGGGTACACGCATGTCCGGTGTCCTCAGGATTCCAGACCTGGGCTGGGAGCTTCCCCAGGAGGGACTGCACCTGGAGCGTAAGTTTTACTGCTGCCACACCAACTGGCTCCAGGGCTTTGGATTTCCCATAAGGGCTGTTCCAAAGTTCAATCTTCCCTCGGAAACTTCCACATTTTTGTTTGTTTGATTTGGTGCAAGGCCTGTGTGCTCACCGGAGAGGTGAGAGAGGAAGTGAGAAAGCACCCGCGGAGGTGGTCATGATGCAGTCCCTGCGCCTTCCTTCTCCTCTGAGAACCTTTGGGGTTTTTTTAGAGTTTTTTGCTACAGGGCGTGTGCACTCGCCAGAAAGACAGAGAGATAGAAAGCGAGAAATCACCCCCCAGGGGGGATGGCCACACCGCAATCCCTTCTCCTCCATTCTCCTCTCGGGATCTTGGGCATGCATGCACACACGCCTGATGTGTTTAAGCCACTGTGGATGGTGTGAAGCCACTGGGTCCAGGATGCGAACCGCGGTCGACTACAGGGGAGTCCAGCGACACAGCCATTACGCCAACTGCTGGTCCCTCCTCTTTGAATCTTGGGCATGCATGCACACCCCTGGTCTATTTCCCAAACCGCCGGGTTGGAACTCAGCGAGTAGTCAGTCGGCCATGTGGGACCCGGCCACCTTATCTCCATGCCAGATGCTTGGCCTCAGACCTTTTCTTCTCCCTTCATTTTTAGTAGGTGATTTTTTTCCTGTATCACCAAGAAAAACAGCTCCATTTCAGTCACACTCCTCTACACACACACACACACACACACACACACACACATATATATATATATACTCTTTTTTTTTGTAATTGAGATTTTTTGGTTGTGCCGAGGCTCAGTACAGACATTTCAATCTGTATCCGGTTCTAAACATACATACCAAAAATTTAAAAAGCCAAGTATAGTGATTTTTTTAAAGTTATTCCAGTGACATTCCAACTTCAAATTTGTAGACAAATTTTCCTTAAGAGGGTATCAAGAACCACTGTCTTCAGATGTTGAAAGTGTTATGTAAGTCCCACCAAATCACAACTTATTATCATGCACTCTACACACTTCAAATTTCCAACCTTTCACGGCATATTAGTAGAATTAGGAAAACTGGACTGCCACGACCAAAGATGTTG